ACTGAATTCACATGCTGTAGACCCTTTAAAATTAAATGTATATGTAGACATTTAAACCGGGGGAGTCGTCACCTGCACATGCGTCAGATGGCCATAGCGTGTCATTGTTTACAAACAAGCGTCTACCCATGAGCCTTTGCCCTTTTAGTGCGTGTTGTTATCGTCGATTGGGACTCAATTCCCGCTTTAAACTCATTAATTTACATGCTATGGACTCTGCCTGTTAAGATAGTGATTTACGTGTTAAGACGCTTTAAACGCACCGATTTACATGTTACAGACCACAAACAGAATTTGTATACTGCGTTGTATTTATTACAGTAATTTACATGGTAGTAACCCTGTAACGCAGTTATTGATTCATTTCTAGGTTGGGAATGTATTACGACTCTAAAAACCCGATATGTCCGGCATTCAATTCAGATGGTACAGTGGGAATAATGGATGACCCAGGCTCAGTGTTCTTCACCGAATGCAACAAATATGAATTGCTTCATTACGTCAAGTATGTTTTTTTTGTTATTATTATCACGTCTGTGAAATATCATATCGTATGAAAAGATCTTGGTACAAATGGCCGCCAACAGCTCATTTAGAGCGAGAGAGCCACTTGTTTTTGTCCCCTCCCTCACAAAAAAGTGTTTTCTATAATATGTGAACATGGTATTTTGAACCGCGATGTAGAGAATAGAACACTATCGTGGAGGGAAGCAAAAACAAGTCGCGTGACTATCTCGCTATCAATGAGATTTTGGCGGCCATTTGCAAATCTAAGGTCTATTCATGAATGAATGCTGCTGGAACACTTCTCACACAGGAATTTACTAAAATGCTATCGAGTAATTTCATGTCACTGGCTGTTTGAAAGTCGTACAAAAAACGACCACGCTATTTTGTCCTCTGTTGTATATTATTGTTATGTATTACTTAATTGCAACTGTTATTGTGTTTTAGCTCTCCTGGTGTGGACTGTTTTGATAACGCCCCTGTCCCCGGTGAGTGGAAGGATTATTCGCATAATCCTTTCGAAGAGGATGTACTGTGTCAGGAGTTGTACTATAACACCCCAGGTTATTATAGTGAAAGACGATGTCCCTGGAGGACCCCGGATGTTACGGTGAGAATGATTGATGGTTTTTTTCTGTTCAACTGATAGCTTGCAGTTTTTTATTGTTATAGAAAACAACTTTAACATTCGATATCGGTGCCATGCGATGTGTACAACGTATGTAATTTTTAAAATCTGGCTCAGGTGCACGTGGTTGCTAGGAGGGAAAGCGCGGAATAAAAAGTAATGTGCTTACCGTCCTATCAAGGAGGGAAAATATATTTTTTATCTAAGCTGATTGGACGGCTTTGTCTTTTTTTTTTAAAAAAGAACACAGTTTATAAAAGGGGTGTCGGTCGCATCAATAATTTCAACATATAATTTTTGAAAATTTCACAAATTACTAAAGTCAGACGTATAATATCAGACTACTCAAATATAAGTATACTGTTGCTGCAATTCAAACTGAGCTAAGTACGATTTGTAAGCAAATAACACCGAATAAACGGCAAGGTAAAGACTATGTCTAATTATAGTAAACACGTACTGCGTGCGTGACTCGAACCGGCGCTCGCGTACGGCACCTAATCGCCTAGCTTCACGCCACTACACGTCTTCCCCTCGGCCACCGGGCATCCCCAGTAAGTACGATCCTAAGTACGATTTGAGTGTGTTGTAATCCAGGTAGTGCCTGTAAATGATCAAGTAGTCTTGTTGTCTTGTGACAATAAAAGATAACAACAACAAACATTTCTTTGAATCTTTGACATTTTTATTGCCAATAAATTGGCCACAAGTGCAATAATCTAAGCTCAATAACCTAAACCAATAGACAGACACACGAATAATAAATACAACTATGAGTGCGAAACAATGACAGCAAAACATGTCAGTCTCTGGCCGGAGTATTTAACCTGGGTTAAATTGTCAATGGTGATTGTTATGCTATATATTTAGGTATATATTTATATTTACATTTAAGACATTCTTGAATTTGAACCGATTAAGATTAACATTTTTTCAGGTATCGTAAAGTCTTAGATTGATCACATAAACTATGACCTCAAACACATGGTTGTGACAAGGTCAAATTTCGTTGTCAAGCACAGGATCGAATTTGGTATATATAAATAATTCATTTTCCACATACGCGATGACTTTGGCACCTCGAAGTGTCAGGACTGCATTTGCTCTTGTAAAATATCTATAATTTATGCAATTTATGTAAACTTGCAGGGTGATTGTTCTATGTGGTGTGAAGTGATTTCCATTGAAACTGGTAGGAAAACATGTTCTCGTGAAATGATGCATTTGCCCGAAAACAGTGCGATAGCCTGTGGAAACAACAAGGTAACATAATCCTATAGAGCGTTAACTCCAGTCGAGATTAGAGTTCACATTCTTATTGCCTTCGTTGCATAAGCGCATGCGTCAGTGTCGCAATCTCTATTTGTGATATACATGTATTATATTTTAATTTCCAATATCGCATAAAACACATAATTATCATTTTAGTTGTTCAAATAAGGTATTGTCAAATCTTATCTGATTTAAATATTATTTTTTGTTTATATTTTGGTAGGTCTGTTCGATGAATGAGTGTGTGTGTCCACCCTCAGCCGACTGTAGTGACAAAAGGGAAGGTAATGCTTAAACAAACATTAAATAATGGATTTGTCTATTGAAATCGAAACATTATTCCCTGCGCGTTCGAAAACAGCAACGTTTTGGGATAGAGGCTCGTGGACGTACGCACGTACGCGTCCAACGTTGATTAGTTTTTTGAACATCAACATATTTTTAGAAATTGTTGATGCCCTAAGTTTCTATAGTTCATCATAATCATTAATTTCATCGAGAGAAATATGATAATTCAACAACTAACATTGGTTAATATATTGTAGTATCCGGGATACCTGCAGTTTATTACAAGGTGGTATCGACCGAGAACACGCCGTGGGTAGACTTCAACAAGGGATGCCACCGTCTTGGAGGAAGGGGTCTTAAAATATCGAATCTAGCTACTCAAGCTGCTGTGGTCGAGGTTATTAAGAGTAGGTCACCAACTGCGAAATTTTACTTAGATATTCATCGCAACAGCTCGGAGAGCAACCAGTGGCACACTTACAAACAGGAGTCAGTGTATTTCTACAGTTGGCTGCCTGGAGAACCGGATCAAAATGAAAACGAATGTGCCGTACTGAGGTAAGTAGGGGAAATATACAAAAAATGAGTCCTTACTGCGTTATTTTGAGACACACTAGCTTTACTGAATCACCTCGAGTGTACTTCGTAGATACGCGTATATGTTTCGTATTAAACAATGTATTCCTAGTATGATAAGTGTTCAAAGTAACCATCTAACAACACCTTTGTTTTCATTATAGTCGAAACGATAACTATGAGTGGGTGGACCATGCATGTGATGGCGGGGCTGGATTCATCTGCCAGTTTGGTGTGTTATTTACTTATTTTATTAATCGCACTGTGCAGGTATTCCGATAAATGTTTCACGTCTTGAGCAATACATATGCTGTCTTAAGAACACTCAAAATTATGGTTATCTGTTAAATGAATAATAATAAAGAATACAATCAAATACGCATGTCATACCTTTGATGTGAATTCATTTCTCGTGTGAATCGTGTGGTTATAGAATAGTGTCTTTCATTATGTAGATTATTTTGATCGCCAAAAACTAGCCCATCAGGTCAATGCAAAACAATATTTTGTAAAGAAGCGTGTGATGTAATTTTGGGGAATATGTAAAAATATTAATTGCGTATTAATTATTTAAAAAATAATATTTTACTTATTTGAACTCTTTTTTGCGTGAACCGCTCAGACTGCAGCGATCCAGAATGGTGCTTGCATGGAAATGTGACGTTAATTGGAGATTCGTGTACGTGTGATTGTGAAGCAGGGTGGAAAGGAGAATTCTGTGAAGGTACGTATTCAAACAATGCCCATACTCCATAATCGCATCGCGGTAAACTGACGGCAATAGAACAAATGACACACGCTGTAAGCAGTGTGGATGGCCAACTCACTAATTGCGTTTGCAATGTTAGTTGTGCGTTTTAAAAGCTAAGAAACGAAAATCTATGATACTCAGGCTATCAAATTAATGACCAAATAATATCATTATTGAACTCCTTCGGTAGTCAGTATCTATTGTTTCTTGTCAATGGGTTGGGTTACATAGAAAGGATATATGGCCGATTTTAAAGACGAGGCACTAGCAACATGAATATTGCCACATGTGCTGGTTATGTTGAATAATCCACGATCGGTAGAATATGTTGGCGTTTTCCCGAATGTTATTCAATTCAACCAAGGGGATTTATTATGATTTAGTGTGAAATCATGCAATATTACTGACAATGAACAGTTCATATGCTGGGAATTGAATGAGTGTAGAGTTACGCGACGACTGTACGTCATGTCAGTGTCGCGACGTTTAGAATAATATAAGTCTCTTTCACACCATGCTTATTGAACGACCTGGGAATTGCATATTATTTTAATATGATTTTTGGCCGTTGTTACTCAACAGAGTTTGCTACTCTCATGACGCCAAAATACGTCCTACCGGGAGGTAGTGCAAACGCCGTGATAGCGCAGGAAGCCTGTTTGGCCTTACATGGAACACTGCCGGATGTATCAAGTAGCGATGCCCACGATAACTTCAAAAACTTTCTGTCCGCCATGTCGCCTGTCACTGGAGACGTCTATGTTGATTTGACATTAAAGCGTTCCATATGGAGGGAGTACTCCGGTAAAGCCTCACATGTTGTGATGTGGGCCGATGGTGAACCACGGGTTAATAATACATGCACTACTGTCGGGTAATTATTTTTATATTGTAAATGCTTACCACTAGGTTTTGTTTACGAGGTCTGTATGTCATCTCGCGTGATCGCGGTGTGCTGTGCTTGCATGATCGTCGAAGGTTAATCTACGGCACGCACGGTCCCAGAGACTCAATTACGCAGAAATGCTAGCAGTAGTGTAACAGAGAGATAAATGTACCTAGAGTAAAATTTAAGTCATTTTAGCTGGGAACAAGACTGACGATATTAATACGTACACTGACAACTTTACAATCAAAGCCCAAGGTGCCCTATAGGTGGATTCTGCGGTTAGTTCCGATCGTAAGAATTTACTTTCATTGTTTTAGCTACATAAATATTTACTGTTGATTTTTGTAGTCAGAATTATTCCTACCAGTGGAAGTCATCAGATTGCCAAGATGTTCTTCTTGTTGTCTGTGAATTTTGTAAGTATTAAGTCCTGCAATATATGTTGCCTTACGAGTTCAATTAAAGGGCGGTGGTCGCCGCGCCGCGCTCTTCTAATGGAAATCACGAGTACGAGTTTTGATCTGGGTGCGACGTGCTCTAATTGTCGACGATGATTCCTTCGATACCTTCCAATCACCGACAAAATAACCTAGTTAAAGCTTGGTAACGTCCAAGTTTGAACTCGTTGGTCTGCGCAACAGTCAAACTCGCCACTTTTATGAGACCCATATCTCGCGCATATTTAATGGTTTATACTTACCAGTGTTTTTCAGTTTAGATTCACTATTATATGTACTTAACCTTGCTTTTTTGTTTCCATATCAAGCATGTGAAACTGCGTATGAAGATTGGTGCCGGCAAGGCGATATAGTCTCTGACGGAAATGGATCTTGCACGTGTCAGTGCTGGCCTGGGTCATATGGAACGTTTTGTGAAGGTAAAGCCTATCAGTACGCCATGCAGTTGTTTTGCATTTGCAGAAGGTCGGACAGTGTGTTCAGTGATTGTTAACGTCCAGACATTTTGCAGGAAAACCAGTGATTGCGTGAACATGAGACACAGAAACGTTTGTTGCGATTTGGTTATTTTGTCGTTATGAATAGGTGTAAAAAAGTCCTAGTTTAGACAAATCTTTTATTAACTAAAAAAACACCGGCTTGCTAAATTACAGAAAAGTGTATCAGATATAACTACAAAAGTAATATTAGGGACAATGTTACTCGTAAAATTGCAGTTAAATCTAGTAAAATAATCTGGAGAATGTAATTGTTGTCAGAGTATTTCAACATTACTCTTATGATACGCTGTTCCTGCCAAGTCGCTACCTCCAGTGATTCCATGACGTAATTGGTTGACATGACAATCGTTCAAAGCGGAGAAAACGTTTTGACCTGTAGTCGTCAATAAATGAAGGAATACATTTTGAGTGATTTTACTATATGCTGAATAAAGAACGACAACACAGTTGTCGATTTGAACGAAATTGTTTTCACCCATATACTTCATTTGGAGTCACGAGAGGGCGCGAGTCGCAGGACTGGTGTATTGCTCTTCTTCACGCTCAGGATCATGATGATCACCATATTTATCAGTTAGTAACTGAACATCTTACTTACTCTTGAAACCCGACTAATTAACCATACTGTTGAACTGAACTGAACGAAACTTACGGTTAAAGTTTTCTTGCTAGTCATAGTACTCATCCGTTGTATGTTCGACTTCTTAAAAATTGTTAGGTATATAGAATTTTGATATTTTTGCATACTGAAGTACTGAATGCTGTTTCCATGATTTCTTTATAATCGTGACAATAACATTTCTCCAACGTTAAGGTAGTAGCCTACTCATAAATTAAAAAAAAACAGAATTTATTCATTTTGTAATAAAATGTACTCCAAGGCAATATAAGGATATTGACCTAAAAAAAGTTGGGGGTCACCAGCCTTTTGTTCGAGAAATTGATGGTTGTATTTTAATGGAAAGTCGCCATTTTGACACTATTATAACACTTTTACCATAGGTTTCTATGGCAGAGATATTATGCAATATCTCAAAATTTAGCCTGGTGACATAGGCTGAAAAAAATCATATATTGTTAATGATGGAGTATTTGTTGTTGTTCTGAATTATTTAAAAACTCTGGGTTTTGAAAGGTGTCAAAAAATGCATTTTTTCTTTAACATTGTGTTCTATGGAATTGTTCTAATAACAGAAATATTAGGACACGTTTCTCAAAAAGAATAACTGTAACACATAAAATAATGCTATTTCATTGTACCATGGGACATTAGCTTCATGATTGTACATAATAAACTAATGAACATTGTCATGCGATTTGTGACCAATTTTGTCAAAAATTATGACTTGGCTTCTACCTTAATAAAATAATTGTCTTTGATATGTTATATGTAGGTGTTTATTTCTTGGTGTTGGTTTCTTTGAAAATCTTGTCATTTTCAATAAAAAAAACTAAAAAAAACAGGCAAATACTTGATATATTGAGCTTTATACTGGAAGATATGCTCTCGTTATTCTATCTGCTGCCTTTTTTCGAGATATTCAGCTCAATTCATGTTACATGTAGCGATACTGTGTCGGTAGTGTTGTCTGCATGTGTAGTGTGATATATTAATGTAAAACGCCTGGTTTAATTCATGGCTTTATTTTTTGATACGATGTAGCAAAGGTATATGTTCCATCACAGTTAATATCTGTCTAACTGTAAATGCAGATAAGAATACATTGGATTGACAAGTGTTGGGGAGCCGAATGTTGGCACTATGAGAAAATTATGACAAACACTATTAATAATAATAATAATAATAATAATAATAATAATAATAATAATAATAATAATAATAATAATAAATGTGTGTGTGATTTCAGAATATGACTACAGCGAAGTCCTGTACAAATCGCTTCTGTTTTTCGAAACACAGCGATCCGGGGTGCTGCCACCAGACAATAGAATTCCATGGAGATTTGACTCCGCTTTAGACGATATGTCGGAAAACGGTGATGACTTAACTGGAGGCTGGTATGACGGTTAGTCGTATAACTTTTATTTGATTGCATTGGCAATGTGGTTGCTCGAATCTGCGAATAAGTCACGATAACGAGGAACAATTAGGGTCCTCAGTGAGTATATTCATAAAAATAATAATGATATATTTACTCATATTGCGCTTTTTTACACTCAAACCTGGCATGCCAAGCTGAATAAAATAATTATAAAAGCAAAAAATAATATACAAAGTGACATTAAGTTAGAAACAGCAACTAACACATGTTCAAAAATGAAAAGCTTTCTTGAACAAATGTGTATTGAGGTTTTGTTTTAAAATGTCAATAGATGTACTGTGTTGTACGGTGTATGGTAAGGCGTACAATAAACGTGGGCCAGCAACAGGAAATGCCCTGTCACCAACAAGCTGTTAAATTAGAATTAAAACCATGACACCAGCAAGGTCCCGTACAATATTCTTCACGGGAGCCTTGTCTACATATTCCAATCTATTTTTGTTAAATTATTGAGGCTTCCCGATTAATACAGCTTCAGTTTTTACAGCATTTAATTTTAACCTATGCAATTGGTCACATTATCGTGGCTATTCGTATAATTTGGTTCAAACGCCATGTACAATTGCGTGTCGTCAGCATAAAGATGGTATGAAAGATCATAAGTGTCAATGGTACCACGAAAGGTTTACCCAGGACAAACCCCCGTGGTACACCAGATATTAAAAGATGGCTAGACGAGTGTCTATCATTAAATGTCAACGGATTGATTCCAGTTAGTAAGGTACGATCTAAACCATGAATGAACCACACCAGTGATACCAAAACGACCTTTTAATCGATCAAGTAATATATTAATATCAAGAATATCAAATGCAGAACTCTGATCTAAAACTAAAATTTTCAGTTATCATTAAATTACAATGTAATTTAACAAGATGAGTTTCAGTACTATGGAAAATATTACAGACTCGCTGGAGTATATTTTCTAATGAATTCTTCTTAATACGATTCAGGAATTGATTCGCTACTATCCTTTCAATTAATTCTGAAACAAAACACAAATTAGAAACTGAGCTATAGTTTTTGAACATTTAATCATTCAATATAGGTAATGTACTAGCTACTTTACATTTGATTGGGAATACACCGTTAACACGAAATCACCAGCTGCAAAACTTTGACAATCACTTGGCCGGTGTCAAATAGTTGTAATTCCATGTTACATTAGTTATTTGGGCGTCAGATTTGGATATGCGTTTGCCACATGTTCATATATTTGTCTTTTTTGTTACATTGGACAAATAATTGTATTCTTGTTGAATAGGTTCATCACTTGCAAGCTAATTCATTAATTTGGCTCTCAAAACACGCACATTAGTTATTCCAACCTAAACTTTATAATATTCTTGTTCAGCTGGGGACCATTGCAAATTTTCCTTCTCTCATACCGGCAATACTCTAAGACTGGCGTGGGGCTTCCTGGAATTCAAAGATGGATACGAGGCGGCTGGACAACTTGACGTGATGTATGCTACTTTGAAGTGGGGACTTGACTATATTATTAAGCTGCACACAGCGAAGTATGAATTATATGCGTGTGTAAGTACATTATTTTGCTTGGAATCCTTCCTATAATATACAGATTTGGTATTAGGCTGTTGCGCAATTTGGTGCAGGTTCTCTGCAACGGGCTTCGTATTTAATGAAAAATGGATCGACGTAAATTAGAAATGCCAAATTGGTTGTTTTGATTCCAGAGTGCTCTTTTCCTACCTAAAAAACATAGACCTCTGGAATGCATGCTCTGTATTTCTTGATTTGTCGCGTCGTACAATCGGTCACTGATGATTGGCGGATATCTCATGATTACAATTATTATTATACATCTGTCGCCGTAATGCCAAAAGTTACAGCATTCCGTAATGTTGCGGTATTGCACCAAGGGCGGTAGGCAAAAGTGCCTGGGTTAATACACTACTATGAATAATGAATATTTTCATTTGCAATTCATCGATGGGGGTGCTATTAAATAATGTTTACAACTCTCATGTACCAATGTGCTATTGATAACTTACCAATTTGACACGTATTACATAGAGAAAGTTTCTAGTTTGTGTGTATATTTAATACGTATATTATTTTTTAAATCTTTCAAAGCAGAATGTATCACTGATCCAACACTTTTGCCTGATGCCCTTGATTGCACTGGTATTTTCATCCTACCATATTAGGAAACGCGAATTCCAAATATGGAACGATTACGCGCATAAGCGTCGCCTAATAAGAAAAAACAAACATGGCTGCCAGCATGGTTTGACCGTGGTAAAAACACAAAAATATTCGTTAAATCAGTTATAAACGATTTGGATTTTGGCATTCTCATGATGCATTCCTGGGAGGAAAAAATGTATAATAATAAAGTTGTTACAATGATACTACAAAGAATGCACTCAGACACTACGCTATCGCATCGACCTCCGCTAATCATCATTATAGTGTGTTCCAAATGTACGCGTTATTGGCCGTTTTGTGGGGATGAGGCAAATGCTTGTGTTTTTGTGTCATTTTGGATTGTAGTTGAGCAATGTGAATATACGAAAAATTAATTAAGTCCCAACATTTCGGATGAACAAAACATTTCACAAATGTACTGATATTTTGTCATTTTCAGGTTTGTAATGCATCACTGGATCATACCTATTGGGGGCGGCCGGAAGATATGACAATGGAACGCCCGGCTTTCAAGATAGATGCCGACAATCCAGGAAGTGATTTGGCTGGAAATGCCGCTGCAGCATTGGCTGCTTCATACTTAATATTCAAAGATATCGGTAATTAGATTTCACTATAATTAGCCAGAATCGCTAACTCACTTCCATCTACCCTGATTGAAGTTCGTAACACAAATTCTGGTTAGTACGTTATTAGAAGCCATACTCTTTCGAGTCGTAAGAAAAAAAAATTGGAAAACAAAAATTATTCAATGTGAACGATGTAGCTGGCCACGTCTACTAAATTTTTACGTTCATGGTAGCTATTCGCCCATAGAGGGCGCATTCGACTTATTGTATGAGCACAACGCAACGAGGATACTTCGCAATTTGATATTGATAACAATAACAATTGTTAACATGTTTTGGTTTTGGTTTTTGCCTAATATTTAATAGATCCAGCGTACGCGGCACTTAGCTTGAGCCATGCACGAGACCTATACGACTTTGCTTACTTATATAGAGGTATATATTCATACAATACAGACGTCAACAACTACTTGTAAGTACTATTCAACATTCGTCCGTGTGAGCTACCCATATCATCACTAGTATGATATCGATATATTCATGGGTTAACGTCTGTAAATAAGTTTTGAAATGATATTACATCTGTGTGTTTTACTAATCTTAATGGTATCAGTCTTCGATTGGATCACTGCAATATGCCGATAAATGCTTCTTCCACGCGAAGTAGATACCTCAGATTTTGTAAACTGTGCATATGCATCAAATGCCAGTCTGTAGTATTTTAACCAAAGAGACATGTTTCATGCGATACACAGTCAGTCTGAATGTAATTCAAATAATCACGAACGAACACTTGTAGCGAGTATTTTATAGTTTCGATCACACTGGACAGTAGAATATGTAGGTCTTTTATCACAATGTAACTGATCGTATTGTTTTCTATAGAATAAATGTGCCTCGAAATTATGTTATGCGTATGTATTTGGTACATGTCCAAAATAAATAGTTTCAATGATGCTTGTACAAAATAATATTGTAATTATTTTTTTTTATTTACATTTTATTTATCTTTCATCTGTATGTGTATGGCGATGATGCTGAAAACACACAATATAAAATAATGAGATTTGCTTCTTTTCTGACTTTGTCACACGCCATAGTACTTTCTGGGAGACAAACTCACAAGCACTGTGATTCTTTAAATTCTGTTTCTTCCAAATTGTGAGCAGCCGTCTTTTCAAATAAACGCTGTCCTAAACCACGATAACAACACATACTAAATGCAAAAGCTAATGGGTAGAAGCTTATTTGTAGACAATGACACGGTATGTCCGTCTGTCGCATACACAGGTGACGACTTTAGGTTCAAAAACCGTTTAACTTAAACTTGAGATTATTTCTGGCATATAGATCAAGAATAGCACCAGGTTGTATCAGAATGTGTTTATAAAAAAAATGTTTGACTATTCTCACTTCATCAGGAGTTCGTCCTACTACGATGAGTTAGTCAATGCTGCTATATGGATGTACGATGCAACCGGTGAAGTTGATTATTTGGAAGCAGCTAAGACAATGTATGACGAGTTTGGTCTGGATGTTACACACAGGACATACAGCTGGACATCAGCCGCCCCGGCTCTACAGGTTAGCACACACTAAGCAAATCTATAGTTATTGTGAAGCGTCATATTCCAAAGTCTGCGCATTTCACAACAAACGATGACACATATACTTCGCTTGGGTCCTACGTCGAACTTCGGTGTCAACAAACAAAAGTGTTTGTTTCAAATTGACGTCAATGAGTATTACGTCATATAATTAATTATTCACGCAATTGTTCGCCTCGAACAAACAAACAAATGAGTGAACAAAATATAATTGTGACAGACGTATTTGTGACATTGAAATAATTTCTTATGGGTTTTATTCGGCATTAAACTGACTTGTGATTCCCAACAAATCACCGAAAAATACAACAAAGCGATTTGGGTGAAAATGTTATTATGATCTTCACGCGTTGTTCTCCTTTGACACCTTCCACATGCGGTAATGCGTTAACTTATGACGCCAATTATGTTTTAGTAAGATTTTGTAATCGGTGGCTTAAAGCGGGAGGGTCGTCACCTGCGCACGCGCGGGAATTGAGTCCCAAGCGATGGTAACAACACACGCTAAAAACGCAAAGGCTCATGAGTAGACGCCTATTTGTAAACAATGACACGCTATGGCCATCTGACTCATGTGCAGGTGACGACTCCCCGATTTAAATTGATGACATTTTATTCGGTGACGTCAGCAACATGTACACTCATACGCAGTTGTTGCCTTTCGATACATATAGTCTCCATATTGCAAAATTTACCTTTCAAGTAGACATTTGATGAGCATACATACATACATAAATGTATATCATGCTAAGAAAATGCAAATAATCTGCTATCACGAATGTATTTTTCTATCATAAAATTAGGTAAAAATCAACATATACAATGCAGATAATTGTAACAATTTTAAATACTGAACTTTGAATTAAGCACAAACTAGAAACACCTCAATATATATCGGAAGCAA